ACATCTGCTTCATCCAAAACAGTTGTATGCAGCAACTTCCTACGGCTATATATTCGGTCTCTGCCGTTGACAATAAGATAGAATTTTGTTTTTTGCTCATCCAAGCGACAAGATTAGCACCAACATAAAAGCATCCTCCAGAAGTATTTTTTCTATCATCGACATTTTCAGCCCAATCAGCATTGGAATAGCCAACAAGATCAAAAGTAGAATCCCGAGAGTACAAGATCTCATAATCAATAGTACCATTTACATATCTAACGATACGTCGTACGATGCTCAGGTGGGATTCATTGGGATCAACTTGAAAACGTGCACAAACGCCTACACTAAAGGTTAAGTCAGGTCTACTAGCAGTGAGATAAAGTAAACTACCTATCATACTTCTGTATAGTGTCCGATCAACACTCTTATCAGTAGGATCATGACCTAACTTGACATTGGTGCTCATGGGGGCCCTAGTGTATTTCTTGCTGTCTAATCTAAAACCCTTGACAAGATTTTATGCATACTTAGACTGTGATATGAACAGCCCATCATCAGTTTGTTTAACCTAGAGACCTAGAAAGTAATTTAATTCTCCAATCATACTCATCTCAAATTATTGCTTCATGCATTCAGCGATATCATGCGTAAGAGAATTAACAGGAGAACTAAAAATGATGTCATCAACATAGATCTGAGCTGTGGTGATGGATTCTTCAATAAATCTTATAAATAGGGTTCTATCTGCACCACCTCTCAAGAAACCATGTTCCATGAGATATGCAGTAAACCTACCATTCCAAGCTCTGGGAGCGTGTTTAAGACCATATAAAACTTTATTCAACCTATAAACATAATGTGAATATTTAGGATCAATAAACCCTTTGGATTGTTCAACATAGGCTTCTTCCTAAAATATTCCATTCAGAAAGGCACTCATGACATCCATTTGATATAATTTGAATCCTAAAGTTTAGGCAATAGCCAGGAAAATTCTAATGGATTCAAGTTTTTCTACTGGGCAAATGTTTCATCAAAATCTACACCTTCAACATGAGTATATCATTGGGCTATTAACATAGCCTTATTTCTAGTTATAGAACCTTGATCATCGATTTTATTCTTAAATATCAACTTAGTACCTATAACATTACAATCATCAGGCCTAGGAACTAAATCACAAAGTTTGTTTCTCACAAGCTCATTTAGCTCTTCATACATCGCGTAACCCAACATTCATCCCTGAGAGCTTCTTCGACCTTTGTAGGCTCAATTTAAGACACATAGCTAGCATATGTCAAGTTGTTTAATACCCTCTTTCGAAATCTCATCCCTTCTTCTAAATCTCTAATAATATTAACTTTAGGATGGTTTGTCTTAACTCTGGACAAGGTTCTTTAGGATGTTTAGATTTATCATCAGGTGTGGATTTCGTATTAGGAATATCTAAACTAGTAGTTGTATGTGAGGGATCAGGAACCGAAGTTTCTCTATATTCAGTTACTATGTCGGGAACAACACTCAAGTGTTCCAGATCTACACAATCTTCTCCAATCTCCCCCTAACTACGAGCATCATCCACTACTACATTGA